CTAAGAAAATAAATAGTATGAGATAACTTAAACTTGAGTAGATTTTTATAAATAATCAATCCTCAGCATAGGAAAAAATTTTAATGTTGTGAATATAAACACAGACTTCATTATGCCACATTACCTAGAATGTCATATACCACTCAGTAAATTCAGCATCTCATTAGGCATTACAACAGAGGCTAAGTGAAATGATGCTCAATCTCTATTGATCTATCTATCTACTTATCTACTCCCCTCCTCACCCTCTTTTCTCTAATAGAATAATGAAAATTTCAAAATACATGAGCCTTCTAATAACCACCTTTTTTTTTGCTTTAGATATTCTAGTTTTGATTCCACTTTGTTCGATTTTTAAATAAATCCAAATTAGGTTTATTTGCAGACATATTCTGTGACACAGTAAAACGTTAATACTTTATCATTTATAATCTTTAATTTGGGGTATTGTTTTCTAGTGTATTGCAACTGACTGCGTGCAATTACTTGGTCCTTGATGTCTATCTGTTTCCTTCTGACATTCCACAAAGAGATATTGAAGTCACACTGATGCGATCAAAGAAATGACTGATAACATCACAGAATGACACCCCATTAGTGACCTCATTATCTTCTAGTTTAGAGCAACAAGAAAGCCACACTTCCATGATGCTCCACCCATACCCACGGACCTCTGATGGCATTCTGTCCAACTCTAGATGAAGCACTGGGCTCAAAGCTGTGGGAGAGAGACCTGATTCTCAGAAGTTAATGAACCCCAAAATCTTGGGCAGCATCCCTTAATGCTCAGCCTGACCATGTACCAGCTAGGCTGGAGAGATTTACAGCTGACACCTTCAATTTGAAAAACAAACAACACTGACATGTTAAATGAAGACAACAATGTATGGCAGTAAAAATTGTCAAGAGTATACTCCTTCAGTTGCTGGTCCACTTAGGGACCACTCACTGCTGCTTGTGTATTTGCCTGTGGTCAGCACTGTGAGAACATTGACAGACTCTGAGTCTGGATGGCCTTGGCTAAATTCTGGTTCTATGGCTCACTGAAATGTCAACTTGGGCAAGTCACTTCCTCATCCATATAATGCAGATAATAGCAGTATTCACTTTAGATGCTGACGTGGAAAGCAACTGGCCTGAAATATAAGAGACTTAGTACTTGGTACTAAGGAAGAAATCAGTGATTATTATTCCTGATTTTATAAAGTCTATAGTCTCATAATAAAGGGGTTTTCTACAAAGAAACAACTGACACAAAAGGTGTCCATGAGGAGAAAAAAATATGTCTTCAAATAATTCATGTGTATTTTTTCTAGGAATGCTTATCTCATTCAGATGTATAAAGTACATTCAAAACCTTCATAATGTTAACAAGTAAATGCAAGGTTTTCTGCTATATTAATTTTTAATTTCCTTTTATTTGTACACTAATTCAGCCAACTCATTTTGCAGTTATCATTCAAAAATCACTGCAGAATATGACAACATAAATCAGTCTATGCAAAATGCTTAGCACTTTAGTAAACGAAATCACATATTTACATAAATAACTATGTGAACTAGAAGAAGATGTAAAAGGGATAAAAAAAAAAAAAAACCTGAGGTGGAAGGAAGAATGATTGGTCTCAGGATGAAGGAAATGCCAACGGAGGTATTATCTGAGATAGATCTTGAGAGACAGATAATTGTGATTCAGAAAAGCAAAGCTAGCCGCAAAGAAGAAGGTACTCGAGGCCAAAGGTCAAGTTCACAGGAAAATACTTGCAAAATATCGAGGGTGAGAACATGGAACAGGCATGCTGTGGACAGATGGTAAGAACCTCAGAAGTCTAACAATGATGTGAACACAGTTTAAAATGCAATTGCACTCTATTTTCTATGTCTATCTTGAATTCATTCCTTATTGGAACTGTAAATTCAATTAAGACTCACTTCAGATTAAGGTTGTCTTTAAAATAAAAGGGCCTCTTATGCCAGCTTTCATGTGATATAAATTATATCTATATAAATAGATAAATTATATCTATATAAATATCTGTATATAAATTATATCTATATAAATAAATGATATCTAAAACTTTTCCATGGTACACCTTTAGTTTCTTGAGTACTTAAAAACTTATCTGGTATTATATTGGAACCAAGAGATTGAAAATTCCATTTTCCAGTCTTCATGGCATAGGCATCTGAATTTTGATGTCTGAGACCTAAGCAACCCATATGGAAAGACACAGATTGCTGTAACAGAAGCAGCTGACAGCGAAAGGTGGTGACATGTAAGAACAGCTAGTTGAGGAATGAAAGATGAATGTCTGGGCGTATCTGTTTATTTGAGTTGTCAACCTCTCCCTAACTCTTTCATTAAACACCAAACTAACCTTCAGTTGCCCAGAGACCTTAATCCTAACACAATTTCCAACGTTCCAATACCATCAAGCAGAAAGAGGGGGTCTTTTGTTCCATGTTAAGAATAACTCCAACTATAAAACTCTACAAATTCCCCTGGAAGAAAGAGGCTACAGGGATTTGTAAATCACTAATTCTACCAAGTTGTATAAATAATAATAATACACTGACAAAAAAAAATGTGTGTAGGTTTGAAATGAAGAACTGTCTTCCAAAACTGTGGGGCAATTGGAAGACCCTAATTTTGTCCTAAAAAAAAAAAAAGTTTGTATTGATACAAGCCTTAAATCTCTCAGGCAGACAAAATTTCAAGGTTTCTGGAAAGCTCATTTCTAGATAAACTCCTTTCAGCCATTACATTTATACTCATGTTTTCTCAGGTTTCCCATTATAAATTCGGTAGTATTTTTTACTAAACCCTGTGCCACTTTTCTTAAAATGTCCGGCAGCCCATAGCTCCAGAAGATCCCGAGACCTCACTCCTGACTTGATTCTTGAGACTTTCTAAACATAGGGTACTATAATCTGAATAATAAAAAAGAAACTTTGTATCATTGGCATCACCTAAGTTTCTTCTACCTAGACTTACGGTATTCTTTTAGCTCCTATTTCCCCAACAGATGTAATAATTCAAAGATCGAATTAAGGCTAGGGCTGGCCATTTTCAGTGGGCACACTGCCAGATAGAGTGTATCATCCAGAGTCCAAAACCTGATCCAGTGCCTTCACCTAGTTCCAAATGACCAAGAATCAATGATGGGTGGAACTGATTCAAAGGATGATGACAAACCAAAGTTACTGAAATATCCAACTGCTATTGACTTTCCTTCCTTTTAAAATTCATCACATTTCCCACTTCCTTTTAGTTTGCCTTTTATTTTCTTTGGGAACTTCCTTGCCAGGTACTGAGTAATAGAACTAGTTGTCACAAGAAATGACTAGAACAATGTCATTCTCAGAAAAGCACACCTTACAAAATAGTTTGGTTTCTTTCATAGAATCCCCAACCACCAAATTTAGGATTTCCTTATGGATGAAGGCACATTTGTGATAGTAACAATTCATCAATATTTAAGTGTTTCCTTTGATCTTGTATCTAAAACTAGTACCAAATATGTCCCTTTAAAAGTATTCAACTGAATTATCTTTAGGTTAGTTAACTATTTACTTGAAAATCTATAGGAATGTGCTCTAAGGGAAATAAACTGAAGTAAAATGTGCATTATATTTAACAAGGAAACTATCTTATTGCATGGACAAATATGGATCCCATAGATACAAAATCTAGATTTAAGTCCCACTTTATCATTAACTACATGAAACCAGGGGAAAAATTCCCATAGTATCTTTGAGTCACAGTTTTTTTTTTAGTAAAAACAGGAATCAAAATAATATTTTTTCCATAGGGAATTGTAAAGGTCAGAGGAGAAAATGATTTTGGATTATAATGGTTCCAAATGAAGCATCTACAGCTTCCTGGTAGTGCTAAAGGAGTCATGGCTTGCCTCTTGATCCCTGAAAGAGCTTTCCTTTTTATTTTTGTTTTTTTCAAAAAAGAGTTCATTTCCTTAGCTTTTTCTTCAGACATTTCCCTCCCCACTCCTCACCCCCCAACATACAAACATTTGGCTTATCTACTTGAATGATGGCTACCAAGTGGTTACTTGGGAAGACTAAACCAAATTCACCACAGTACCATGCTGTAGCAGGCAAGCACAGCTGTGTATATTGACACAAAACAATCCCCATTTCTTCTTCTTCCTCAGTGACACAGACTAAGTAACACTTTTGACTTCGTGTTTAAAGACCTGCAATGCCAACATGGAGGCTAGAGGACCACCAATTACCAGCCCAAACATTCCCAGTACTTTCTATGTATTTAATCCTCCTAGCCCGATGAGTAAAATATTAATATCCTTTGCCTTATAAGTTATAAAACTGAAGCTCTACTTGATTTAGTGTATTCTCCAAAGTTGGCCAGTTCATGAGCAGCAGAAACAAACTCCGTTTCTCTCCATCACTTCTCAAAGCTTCATTCCAGAAGAGGAGAAGAAGGGGAGAGTGAAGCCAAGAATCCATTACACATCCTACAAAATTAAGAAGAGTGAGGGAAGGGGTGGGTTGGGAGGGATGGGTGAGAATGTTGAACATGGTGACATTGAGCAAGATGTTTATGTTCATAAACTGCTTTGATAAATACTAACTCCTTTGTACAACTACTTAAAGATCATTTTAAAAGTAAAAAATTTCAAAGTCTCATTCCCTCTCTTATCTCTGTTCTGTATCTTTCTATTATTCACTCTATAAGTTTTAGAGTATCTTCTACTCCAGACACTTACACAAGAAGCTAGAATCATTTGGTGAGGTGCCTTAAAAACATGAGCAGCCAGGTCACTCAAAGTCCAATTGAAATTTTGAGAGAGGAGCCCCAATATCAGATATTTTTTTAATTCAGCCAATAATTCTGTCATGCTGTGAAAATTGAGAATCGTTTATTAAAACAAAAATGCTATTATTTATGTATTTTAAAATCCAGAGTATAGCTTTATTACAAACTATCTCGTTAACATACTGTTTCTCTTTTGAAATAACAGGTGGACAAGATATTCATAGATTCTACTTTGAACAAGCACTACATCAAGAATCAAGTAGTCAGGCTGATGTACGTATGTTGGGGCTACAGTATAATCACAGCCTAGAGGGTCAAAGGGCAAAAGATTCAGGATCCTTCATATATTGTGTGTCTCTATGATTCAGCCCTTACTAGTATGCTCATAGATACTATGTCTCAGTCTATATCTGTAATACAGAGCTAGCCACTATTTTGTAATAGAAAAGTAAGATTTTGGGTGGTGTGGAAGAGGATGTGATGTACTTATATTTCCCCAGGAGACAGTTATCCCAAATAGCAGAAGCAAGATTCAAAGTTTATCAACTGGTTATTAGGTCTAAATCTACCCAAACCCCATAGCCTTGGGAAAACCCAGCTGCCAGTCACTGCATGCACTAAGTACTATGCTTTTGACAGATGTGTCACTTTGAAAGCATTAAGAAGACAGAGTTGACTACGAAACTTTACCAGTAAAAAAACCGTAGTCACAAGAGACATGCCCAAACAAAAAGATGTTTCTATTGTATTTGTTGTTATTAGGATGGAAGAAGGCTCAGATCAGTTGCAGAAAGTGCTCAGAGGTTTCAGTTGTCTTACTTTGAAAATCACATAGCTGAACATTCAGACACAAATCCATGAATATGTATGATTAATCTTCTTAAAGGAAAAGAAAGAGATTATATTCATCTGTGGATTTATTTAAAAGAAATAATCACCAATAGACTTTGTTACCAATAGGCTAATGTCTTACTGGTTTACTTATTCCAAATTCTTATACATTTCTGGTAATTGAAGACTTTCGTGAGACTGTTATAGTATGAATTGGATAATTTAGAAGCTGAAAAGCATACAAACACTAGAACTTTCTAAATTTCATGCCATCTTTTTTTTTCAAATTCTGATTTGTCATGGCATCCTAAAAACATTCTTATAGTTTCATGAAATCCTTCACATTTATAACCATTATTAATATGTAATTTATTTTGTGTGATTCTAGAGAAATTCTATCTGATGATCAGTGTCAATTTCTCTTATTTAAGATGGAAATTTACTTGGACACCTATTTGTATTTGTATTTGTACTTTCCTATCCCAACACCTGAAGGGAACACAATACATAAAATGTCTTGGAATCTATATAACACTCTACTTTTTTAGCCAAAGATTCGGGGAAAATAGGCCTATAATTTTTTTTACTGTTTAGATACTTTGTAGCAAAATTAGAAAAGATGACAGATTAATATATATTATTTTCAACTTTTAAAAAGTCTCAAAATTGTTTTATTTTCCTAATTTAAGGATCTATTAAAAATAAGTTCCATGCATGGCAGGATTGAACCTATACAGATACAAAGTTGAAGAAACTGCTACATAGCTTGAATAGGAATAAGAGACCACACCTTCAAGTATAGCAAAGAGGGAATTGATACTTTTAGATATGTTGTAACTATCTACTAGTCCTAAGCTTTGTGGAATGGAAAACAAAGGAAGAAGTATTTCAATTTGAAATAAACCAGTCTCAAGATCAGAGCTGATCAAAGAGAAACCAGCCTTTTAAGGAAGCAAATGTCCCATCATTTTAATGACTGCACTAGGGTTAGAGGACCGCTTCTTATAAATGCTGTAGCAATGATTCAGATATCAGATTATGATTCATTGTCCCAAGAGAACAGGAAGCTTCCTTCCAGTCCTCCGAGCTCTTTATTTGGATGATGACTTTTTATGACTGCAAGTTACCCAACTGCTGTAACCAGCCTTCAAAAGAATCAGGGAAACACACTTAAAACATAATAAAAGCTGGAAGAAGGAACCTATGAAATAGCCTCAGGTCAAAAGCACACCAAGGATGACATACAGAAGAAGGGTGTAAATATGAAAGCACTAAACTTTGGCAGTCAGCAATTGAGGCATAAATCAAGAAGGAAGATACGGGAAAGATGATAGGACAGTACCAGATGCATCTTTTGAACGTGCACCTTTCTGTTGTATTTGTCATAGCCCAGAAGATGATGTGAAGGCAGATACTGTTACAGCATACCAGATCCCCTCTACGGTGCCTAAGACAAAAAGAGAGAAGAAAAGCCACCACATCTTAAATCAGAAGATTAGAAAAACAAGAGCCCTGCCGATAAATGTCTCATCAGTACAAGCCAATAGTAAGTCGCTTCCTTTCTATGTGACATGAACTTCCCTATTTAGTTGATGTTTTGTATAAACATAAACTCATTTGTCATTTCCACTTCAAGTCAGTTAGAATTCATAGGTAAGAGAATTCAATTTCAACATATGGCCTTTCAAGGGTTTTTGTTTTTTTTTTTTTTAATCATTCTCTGATGAAAGGATGTCTGAATGTAATCTTCAAGTGGTTTTCCTGGAAGAAATTGATTGGTAATCACCCCAAAATAAAAGCAAAGCTTTACAGCAAACAGAGGGTTAATCTGAGCATCCTCTGCCTTTATGACTAAGCAAGTGAAAATACCAAGGGTAAAGCAATAACTGTGATTCTAGATGGGAGCTTCCAAAAACACAAACTTACCTGTCGTCTTCTAAAAGCATAGGGAAGGGATGGTAGGGGGAAAACAAAGGAGGAGGCAACAATGCTCCATAGGAAATGCACTCATTACCTTGCTCATGTAGCTGTAACCCCTCTCTCTGTACAGCATTTTTACAATTAAAAAAAAAAGCATGGATGGGTCTATATATGGTGATCTTATAAGGTTTTTAATGACTTTCATCCTATAATCAATTGGAGAAATGATTATAAACCAACTTTGGAGCCACTAAAACCATCTGATAAATAATGCTATCAAAATCACTAAAAACCCAGGTGCCAGTGCCTCATGCTTGTAATCCTAGTTATTCAGGAAACTGAGATCTAAGGATTGGGGTTAGAAACTAGCCCTAGTAAAAAGTCTGTGAAACTTTTATCTCTCATCATCAAAAAGCCAGAAGTAGAGGTGTGGCTCAAGTGGTAGAACACTAGCCTTGAGCATAAAAGCTCAGGGACAGTACTCAGGTCCTAAGTTCAAGCCCTAGGACTAATGCAAAAAACTAAATTTAAAAAATCACAAAACAGGGGGAAAAATCTTTACTGGAAACATTTCTATATCCTTTCCATTTCACTTTCAGCTATTTACACTGCCATCATTTCCTTGAATTTGAGAGAAACAACACTTATCAAGGCCTATCTTCTATATCTCATTACTATATTCCAGTGAAGTTGGGAAGTGGAGCTGTGTCTCAAAATAGTAGAATGCTAGCTTTGAGCAAAAATTGCTCAGGGACAGCACCCAGGTCCTGAGTTCAAACTCCAGGACTGGCAAAAAAAATTGTACATTTGTCTCTTAAAAATTCATTGATTGTGTTAAGATATTCAAGACTTTGAGAAGTCCGGTTATGCAGATACCTGTTTCTTCTTGTATAGTAATAGATTTCCATAGCACTTACTTTCAGCAGATGAATATGGAATTTGTAGGGAAAATCCATATTTTGTAGGGAAAAAATCCATTGGCTACCAGGTTTAAGAGTCATAGAAGAGAGTCAGAGCAAGTAATCTGTATCACATATGAGATAGAATGCCCTGCCCTGGTAAGACTAGCTGATTCTTGAAGCGGAAATCCTCATCTGGAAGTGAAAATCTGAGATAGGGAAAGGAGCAGAAGTTTCCTGATGTGATTGAGAGTCAGCGACTTAGGGAATTAATTAAGCTATAGACCTCTCCCAAGTAGAAAGAAGGAGCTGTCAAAAGCTTAATCTACCTTCTTTGTTAGGTGGGAAGGCCCAGGAATGCAGGTTGTGAAACAGTAGCCATTCTGCTGTTTGGATTGTACCTAATTTCCAATAATGTGTTAATTTGCCAGGAGTTTAAAAGCCTGCACTCTGTGAAACCAGAAATGGAACATTAAATGGTCTTCTTGTATCTTTAGTTTAATGACTGTAGTAAATTAAGAGGTTAAATTGTACTGATGGAGAACCTAATTCTTGTAACACCACTGAGTCACTAAGGACCCAAGTATTGCTCCATACCTTTGTGTCCATTTCTGTATCTAAAATTGCAATGAAAATACCTGTTCTATCTGAAATCATAAAAAGATCATGAGAATATACAAGAAAGCAGAAAGTGTAATGTAGAATCAAAAGACTGCTTTGACTTAGAAGTGAAGATGCTTTGGAGACCTCAAAGAATTGATGTTAGTTAACTGATAGCAGGGACAGCTAAAACCCTGAAGGTTTCAGCATTTCCAACTGTATTTACTGGCAGTTAGAAAAGTTCCATACACCAGAATGCTCAGAGCCATTCTTCACTAAAGCAGTCCTTAACTTGGCAACTTCTAAAAATATAGAAAATGGCAGGGATTCTAGATTGAGTCTAGAAATAATCCTGTAAGTCCAGATTCATTTGGTTTGTCAAGAATCAGTGTTTTGTCTGACAAAGAATAATAGGGTTTCTTCCCCCAATACAATGTATCAGAGAAAAGATAAAATCAACTTGCTGATACTAAAAAGGCACCAGAACAGCTCACTGACTCTGTATCAGGATTTGGATGCTTCAGTTCCCAGGACCATGTCTGTAATATTTAAAGACCAGAATACTGACTGGACTTCTCCCAACTGAGAAGTGTTCAAGAAAAGAGTGTATATATTTCTTTTCACTTATACACTGGGAAGTAATGCTAGTTGGTGAAATATAGAAATCTACAAGATATCAATATTAGAAAATAATATATATTATATAACATGATATTGTATATAATTGTTATATTATGCATAACATAATATATGTAACATGTAATGTCAAAGATATTTATATTATATATTAGACATTATTTTATCATATTAGGATTCTATTCTTAAAACTTCAATTATACTTAATAAGCCATTATGTTTAAACACTGATCATTCCTAACAATGGATAAGTTGCATTTTGTGTGTGTGTTTATGCTAGTTCTGGGGTTTGAACTCAGGACTTGAACCATTAGCTCTTTTGCTCAAGGCTGGTGCTCTGACACTTGAACCACACCTCTACTTCTGGCTTTTCCATGGTTTGAGGTTAAGAGTTTCATGCTCCGGCTGTTTCAAACTCTCATCCTCAGATCTCAGTCTTTTGAGTAGCTAGGATTACAAGTGTAAGCCAGCAGCACCTGGTAATAACTTTCATTTTGCTAGACTAATGTTATTTTAACTGAAGAATTTTAACACTGTGCAATCATGAAAATCCTGAATCTACATTTGTTACTCACAAAGGGCACTAACGAAGGTTAGTAATTTGAGGACAAGTTGTTGGGGAAGGAAAACAGTTGATCTGGTAAGCAAAAATAAAAGGATTTAACTTTCCTCCTCCTCCTCCTCCTCCTCCTCCTCCTCCTTTTCTTCCTCCTCCTCTTCTTCCTCTTCTTCCTCTTCTTCCTCTTCTTCCTCTTCTTCCTCTTCTTCCTCTTCTTCTTCTTCTTCTTCTTCTTCTTCTTGAACTCAGGGGCTGGGTGATGTCTCTGAGCTTCCTTTGCTCTGGGCTAACACTTTACCACTTGAGCCATAGTACCACTTCCAACTTTTTCCAACTATTTTTGGAGGTACGAGTCTCATAGACTTCCCTGCCTGACATGGCTTCGAACTGCTATCCTCAGATCTCAGCCTCCTAAGTAGCTAGGATTATGGGTGTGAGTCACGGGTGCCCGGCTTAACTATTTTCTTAAGATAGACCATCATCAATACAAATCATCTTCTTTTATGGTTGTAGACCCAAAGGTTATATAAGAAGTTGTGAGAGACAGTTTCGTGCAGTCCAGTCTGTTTTTCTGATGCACACAAGGACTGCTGTTTTCTTAGCTTACTGGATAGTCTAGGTTCTATAAATCTAAGGAAAAGTTACTGATTAGAAACTTTGTAAGTCCTATCCTACAGCTGGTTTTCCCAGGAATTATTAAATCAACAGTTAATGTTTAGGATAGAAAGAGTGTCTTTTCCCAGGAAAAGAGAGAATATAACAAATGGCTATTGGTTTCTAGTGGTTCACATAAAACTGAGGATAGTAATTTTCCTCTAAAGGAAAAGGAGAGAAAACATTCCTTAGAGAATGGTGTGTTTGTATGTGTGTGCGCTTATGTGAATGTGCTATGTGTTACTGGGGCTAAAACACAAGACCTCACATCTAGGCATCTACCACTTGAGAGCTATGCTTCTCACATTTTCATGTGTGTGTGTGTGTGTGTGTGTGTGTGTGTGTGTGTGTGTTGAGATAGGGTCTTATTAATTTTTGCTTATACTGTCCTTTAAACTGTTTGTATTCTTGTCTCTGCTTCCCAAATATCTGTTCCACCATGCCTGGCTCTAGGATAACAATCTAATCCATTAGATGGCTTCAGTCAAGAGTGTGCTCGATAGAAAATCCAGGGAAAATCAACTAAAAGTAGAGCTATTTAGGTCTTGTCTTAGCAACAATTATACTACTTTCCATTTTAATACACTACTGTATGTTATAAACAAGAAATGTATATATAAATAAGAAATTTTCTATCTTAAATTACATTTGACAGAATATTGTATTTCTCCCATAGACCAAGTACTTAAAACCTGTTCTGGGCATTTGATTCTTCACCATGGAGTAATTCAGGGATATCATTTAATATATATTTTTGAAAATTTTCTCACTTTGTAGAGTATAAAGATGTGACTCATAGAAAGTTAGTAAAATAAAGCATCCCCATTTTATACAATGGGAAATTGAAGGCTAAGACCCTAAATCTGAGAAACTTGGCACTAGTGCAAAAAATGAAATAGTTCATTGTCATCACTCAGTAAGCCATTTTAACTTAAAAGTCATTATAGAGCCCTTTTTGTTTTACATTGAGTTTTCAAAATATTTACTATCATTTTGTTTTTGTTTGTTTTCTTGCTTTAATGTAGTACTGAGATAAACTTACAAACAAGACAGAAAGTACAGAAATAAAAAATCAGTGACCAAAGGGGGGGAAAGAAACAACAAAACAAAACAAAAATAAAAAGTAAAATAACAAAAAACTTCTTGTTTCTATTTCTTAGAGTTCATTTTGATAGAAATCATTTTATATAATCATATGCACATAGTTATTGAGTCTTTGTGATCCTCTCCTAAGAATGTCCTCCTTTGGTCTCATTGTGTAAATGTTTAGAGTCCAGGATAACCTATTGTATTCTTCAGCAGGGAAACTAAGTGTCCAGGCAAGTATGTCTAGTTAGCTTATACAAACAATGCCCATTGCCACATTAACAAAGATACCTTCAAATATTAGCTCACAAATTCCCATCTGTGCTTCATGTTTTCTTTGGGAAAAAATAACAATTGGGCAATAGACATAGATTTATTTTACTCTAAGACTGATGTCATGTCTAGGGCTGAGGCATAATTGGCCCAGTGGTAAAGAACTTGCCTTGCAAGTGTGTGACTCTGGGTTTGATCTCAAGAACTTTTGTGTGTGCACCTGGGCCTGGGTGCTGACTCAGAAAGCTTTTAACTAGCCTTTTTTTCAAGGCTAGCTCTCTACCACTTGAGCAACAGTAAGACTTTCAGCTTTAGTTAATTTAAGGTAAGAGCTTCATGGACTTTTCCTGCCCAGGCTGGACAGATCTCAGCATGCTAAGAAGGCTTTGGAGGTAGGATTATAGACATAAACCACCAGCATCCAACTTAGGCTTTTTTTTTTTGGTCGGTCATGGGGCTTAAACTCAGGGACTGGGTACTGTCCTTGAGCTCTTTTGCTCAAGATTAGAGCTCTATCACTTTGAGCCACAGTGGCACTTCCTGTTTTCTAGTGGTCAGTTGAAGATAAGAGTCTCACAGATGTTCCTACCTGGGCTGCTTTCAAACCACAATCATCAGCTCTCAGCCTACTGATTAGCTAGGATTATAGGCATGAGCCATTGGCACCTGGCTTGCACAATTTTTTTAAAGCATGTTTAATTTAAAAAATTTACATAATAAAAATCTTGGAGAAATTTTTAAAAAAGTATATATTTCTGGTTTATAATAAGTAAGTTTGCTTTTCTAATTCTTTTTTTTTAATGCTATGAAATGTGCTTTCTAATAAATGTGCTTTCTAAATAAACTAATGTGAAAGCAATACATACGAAAGAGATAAAGCCCTATGGTCTGGCACCAATCATTCAAAATATATAATAACTCACCTTCATAGCTGGCAGTGACTTCACTAAAAGATTTTACAAAGGTGATGAAAAACCTAAGTGGAGATACTCATATATTTGCTTTTGTGTTTTGCAAACAACCCCAATATTTTTATCCATTTATTTGTTCATTCAACTAAAAAGATTTTTAACATCCTACAAAGTAATTGTGCCGGGGGCTGGTGGTACTATTATATGTTATACACAATCAAATTCAAAACTATACTTCAAAAGTAAGGAAAGGTGGAAACCAAGTAGGAAATAGTAATACAGTGAAGGTGTGCCATTCCATCATAGTTACAGTGTTAACCTGGCCTTTGGAGTAAGAGAGTGAGTGATTCCTAAAACAGCAGAAAAGTGCTGATGAATGGTTAAGTATCCTGAGAAGGGAGTAGTATGAAATAATGCTATGAAACAAATGAGAATATAGCCATTTCTTGTAAATGAAAAATGTCATCATGGCTGGAACATAGGATGGGGACTTGAGCATGTAGGAGAAGGGTGTAATTAATAAAGACAAGGATCAGAAACATACTGGCACATTTTGACTTTGTTTGGAAGGACATGAAGTGTCAGCAAAGGATTCACACACTGCAGAATGATCTCTCAGATTCCAATGTGCTAAGTAAATTGAGAGCCCAAGCCTGGAAATAGAAGGATGCAGTAGGAAGTTGCTGAAATCCTTAATAAGAAAAAGAGGTTGCTTGAAGGAGAATAGTGGCAGAGTGATGACTTTTTTTGAAACAGCTGGCCATGTTTGGAGTGTAACCAACAGCAACAATATGAATTTCCCTTTTTGATAGCTAATTAGCTAGAACCAGAATGAAACCCATTGTATGTTCTGTATCAAACTATGTTCCCGCATTCTTTAAAAGAACTGTAAGCAACAAAGTAATTTCTGGCTTGACGTACAGAGCACAGCACATGTTTTCTTTTTCCTATCAGTGCCGAATATGTTATTTATATAGAATATGGAAACTTCTATCCTTAAGAGATTTGTGTTCCACAAATCTACAAACATATGAGGAGGTAGTCACTCACAGAGTGGATAGGAGAGGGGTAATTAGTGAACAGACAGCATTGTTTCCCTGGTGAGAATTTTATGTCAAGGTAACATGGTTGGATCACCACAAACCATGGCAGGATATGGACTCTAACTGGGAACTCTCAAAATAATGGCACAACTGGCACTGAAAGTCTACAGGTTGATTTGACACTGTGCTATATCAATTCTCAACAAAGCATCAGTAGGCCACATACATTTGCATCTACAGAGAGAGAGAGAGAGAGAGAGAGAGAGAGAGAGAGAGACTGAGCAAAATATCAATGCATGGGGACATAGAATGAAGAATGATAAAGTACCTCTCTATGCAATAATAGATGCAATTATTCCATGTTAGTACTTTACTGAGGTCCTGGTGTCAGATTGGACACTTCTTAGATCTTTTTTTTTTTTTTTTTGTCGGTCATGGAGCCTGAACTCTGGGCCTGGGTGCTGTCCCTGAGCTCTTCAACTCAAGGCTAGCGCTCTACCACTTGAGCCACAGTGCCACTTCCAGCTTTTTCTTCTTATGTGGTGCTGAGGAATCGAACCCAGGGCCTCATGCATGCAAGGCAAGCACTCCACCACTGAGCCACCTTCCCAGCCCACTTCTTAGATCTTAACAATCTCATCTCTTACAGGCTGTGGTAAACGAGTTGCTCCATTAATAGTCAACAGAATAATGTCTGGGGAACTTGCAGCTAAAGGGGCCTGGCCTTGGCAAGCCTCCCTCCAACGTGGTAATATCCATCAGTGTGGAGCCACCTTGATTAGTAATATGTGGCTGGTCACTGCGGCTCATTGCTTTAAAAGGTAAGTTACTCATTTCAGGTCAGATCCCAATACTGAAAGTAAAAAGGCTTGAGTTTTTACCATATTTGGAAGGAATAATCTGTTCCAAATGTTGCCGAAGTAAAACAAGGAAAGCTCTCAGATTCTTTTCTAAAATTATAGTCTCTTCACATATTTATTTGGAAAATTTGTTGGGAAGAAAGGGAGTATGAATCATTATTCTAGTATTCATTAATCAAGTCTTCAAAGCTTTATTCAAGAAACTATAAGAAAGCAGAAATACTCCTAACACAAAACATTTACAAAGAACTTATGAAATCAGTCCCATGTCAAACAATGTTCTACATTTAGTACTGGTCTATTTTTACAAAAAAAAAAAAAAGTAGAAATGTGCTTTGACATGTGAAAATGATGTAGAAATATCTGTCAGGAGCCAGTTTACTTAGAATCAGTTGTCTGCAGAATTCTATTCTTGATTTATGTTGCATTCTTAAAAATCAGAGCCCAGAGTATATGAGCACTCAGGCTGCTGATTAAACCATGTCTGGAGTATTAAATCTGTGGTGCACAATACACTTCAAGATGTCTGGGAAAAATAAAGTGACCTTAGAGTCTTGGGGAAAACGATTCTCAGCCAGGCATAATAGCTCAATCCCACCTACTTGGGAGCTGGACATCAGATAATCATAGTCTGAGGTCAGTCCAGGCAAAAAGAAGTTTGGAAGACTCCATTTTGGCCAATTACTGGGTGCAGTGGTGTACACCCCTTATGTCATAGACACAGGGGAGCACAAGTAGGAATATAGCAATCTAGGCTGGCCCAGTTATAAAGGGAGACCCTATCTTGAAAATAACAAATGTAGAAAGGGGCTAGATACATGGCAAAAGTGGTAGAGCACCTACCTAGGAAGAGTAACTCCTTGAGCTCAATTTCTGACAAAAAAAAAAAAAGGAAAAAAGAGGAAATGTATATCTATACAGTCTTTCCACTCAAAGTGTGGCCCACTTAGCACTATGGAATTTGAAAGAAATAAAAAAAATAGTAAATCTTAGCCAAGCGTCACGGAATCGGAAGTCACATTTTAATAAGATCCCTTAATTATCTGTGTGCATATTAAAATGAGAAAAATGTCCTGAGAGATAAAAATATTTTTCTGGGTAACCTCTATAGTACAGATGATCGCTGCATTAATAGATCTGAAATTTTGTTATGTGCAAGAAAATTAGAGTTAAAAACGTATTTGCCACCAGGCAGAGCTGTCCAAAGGTGAAAGGAATTCCAAGTTTCAGAAACAGGATTCTAAGACACCATGCAGAAGAGCTCAGGCACGACAGTGCTTTTGTAATGACAACCAGCACCAGTTATTAAGCTATTACTATGCTATGGACATTTGATTAGATATTTACATTTTTCTTTTATATAAAATCCTCATAGCCATTGAACTAAGTCCTGTTTGGTAAGCTGTTTTTCACAGAGGATGATAAGAAAAGGTGCTTGCCTGCAGTCAATGTTTGGAGATGATGAAATTCAAAGCATATTTTCCTGATGCCAAAACTCATCTTTCACAGATGGGGAATCAGCGAGAGGACTGGTCAATTTTTTTTTATCATATGTATGAGATATATTTTATCATACATGAAATAGATACATAAAAATATATTCTATACAATACTTGATATATAAAGTATATATATATATATATATCATTGTATGACATAGATCAGACACAATTCATCTTATATATTATGCATTATACGTAATACACATATAGCACATGTATATATGATCATGCATATACCACATGCTAGACATTTGATACATATGACACACATAACATATATCATACATGTGATATATATAATTTATTTTCCTTAAGTACAAATGGATTTCAATTTGTTATTTGGAAAATAATAATCAACAATATTTCCAAATGCCCTTTTCTTAGAGATATCTTTCTAGAACAAATGTTACCATTTTGAATTTTTACAATTTACTTTAGAATTAAAACAAGTTACTATGAATCTATGCTTATCATCATTAATTTTTACCTTAATGATTTGGGCCCTGGTTAAAAGTTTAGAAACCTGAATCTTACCTAGCATCTCTAAAGCTATGCATGCTTTTAAGGTTTATAATCTATTAATGTAATAAAAATAAAAGCTGAACTAAATAAATTGGTTCATTGTTTGAGAATTTCAGTGTGATCATTCCCATGTGAGTAAATGCAATTCAACATCTTACTTTTTTATTTGTAAGTCCAAAACAGTTATATACTAAATTTATCTAGGCATATTTAAGTTTTAGCTTACAAACCAAAATGTCAATATATCTATAATATATGATAAGTTATTTTTATAAACCAGTCTTTGGTAAGCTTCTTTACAGTATTTTTATATCAAAATGTTGTATGAAAGCAAACACAATAATCCCAGCACAATTTATATAGTTGCAAAATGAGACTTATCTCTATCATTATCTTTATATACTTCAGCTAAAGCTAATCACCAAAGAATTACTGACTGAAAAGCAAGTGTCATTTGAGTCAGTTCTAGGAACTTTATCATATCCTATAAGACATGCTGGTTCCTTCTTACCTCTCCAATTCAATCATCCCAGTTATTCTTCCCCTTACCTCCTAAATTTAATCCCGTCTGGCCTACAGCCTTGAGATGTTTACCTGGAAACGTTTCTCCCCATCTTCTCAGGGCTCACTCCTCTTCCTTAACCATGTTTTAGCCTAAATATGTTTGAGAAAAAGAGCATTCTCTAACTAGCCCCTAATATTCTATGCATAATCCTATTTTATTTTGCCTCTAACGTTCAGATCATTTACTTTTAAAAATTTGTTCTGACCCTTTTTCTTCACCAAGTCTAGTAATCTTGTGAAGTAGAAAGCTATGTCTTATTCTCTTCTACAGCCCCAGTATTTTGATAATATTCAATATATGGATATTCAATAAATACTAGCTGAAGGGATAAATGAGTACTATTGCATGTGCCTCATGGCACTAAAATTGCAAATTCAATATGAATTTCAGCTCTTGAAAATGAATTTGGGGAGGGGGTAGTTGTGGAGGTGGGGAGGAAAGAGATGATAGGGGAAAAACAAAGGAGGAGGCAATAATGCTCAATAGGAAATGTACTCATTACCTTGCTCATGTAACTGTAACCCCTCTGTATAGCATTTTTACAATAAAAACATACAAAAAGGAATAAATTAAGACTCAAAAGTTTCAAGAAAGTACAAAAAGATAAATCTTCCTACCACTTACTTAATTCGCCAATGGGCAGTGACTAAAGACCCACAACGGAACAGCGAGCCCTTTGCCAGACACCTTGAGTGATAAGACACGGACAGAGCCCTTCTCCGAGGCAGTCATGGGTGGGCTTTAAAGAAACGTACTGAGAACTGGAAATCCAGAACAAAGAACTATCCCAACAACAGACTGCAAAAGAAAAAAGAAATGGCAGCTGGGAAAAATAAATTCCTTAAATGTAAAAAAAAAAAAAAAAAAGGAAAATAAGTTATTCTTCTATCTACTAACAGTAGACTATATTTAAATGGGCAAAGAAAGTTATCATTGTAACCAAATATTGTCAGAGTGAGGTATTTTTTTTCTTTTCTTAGCCTAAACGCAATTAATGTAGCTCGTATATTCTACGGTGTTCATATTTTCTGCGATTTTCTAACCTTACCAGCAATGCTAACCCTCGACAATGGACTGTCAGTTTCGGAACGACAATAAACCCTCCTCTGATGAAAAGAGAAGTCAGAAGAATCATCGTCCACGAGAGATATCGCTCCCCAGCAAGAGAGTACGACATTGCAGTTGTACAGATTTCTCCCAGGGTCACCTTTACAGATGACGTCCGCCACGTTTGCTTGCCGGAAGCCTCTGCGTCCCTCCGACCAAATTCTACAGTCTACATCACAGGATTTGGAGCGCTGTACTATGGCGGTGGGTATCTCAGGAGCGCTCACAGAATGCTAAGTGCCAACACGGTGATATCATGTCTATCGATACTATCCTGCCAGCCAGGCCCTCAGCTTGTTACTTTTTATTAGAACTCTTATTTTGCAAGTGAAATGGTATATACCACAAAATCAAGAAAAATAAAGGAATAAGTGGAAGGGAGGTAAAAATGTTGAAGGTGCTGAAACAGTAAAACACAATGTATTCATGAACTTCTTTGTTACATTGCAAATCAATACATAGCCTACAAAATTAAGGAAAGTTAGGAAAGGGATAGGTTGGGAGGGATGGGAGAGAATTTTGAAAGGTGGATGACAGTCATCTATATGCACTGTATTAAAATGCTTTGTTGACTGTCAACTCCTTTGTACAACTATTTAAAGATATATATATATATATATATATATATACATATATATATATATATATATATATATAATGTTATCTTAGCTACTTATGAGGCGAGATTTGAGAATCTTAAGGTCCATGAGACTCTTATCTCCCAATAAACTACTCAGAAAAGTCCAGAAGTGGCTCTGTGGCTCAAGTGGTAGAGCATTAGACTTAGTGTTAGCCTTCAGCAAAAGAAACTCGAGACAGTACATAATCCCTGAGTTTAAGTCCCAGAAATCTCTCTCTCTCTCACACACACACACACACACACACACACACACACACACACACACACACACACACGCACGCACACGAAGAGATAGCCAACACAGAAACAAAGAAAGATAACTAAAACAGAAAACTTGACCTATAGAAAGTGGAAGTCAATGCAAGTGAGAAGTGGAACTTCAAACATAGCTAGAATCAGGACTTCATAGGATGCTATGAATCTCTGAATGTCACATCTTCTTGGGGCCAGGGGAGGTTCTGCCCCCATTATCTTCATTTGGAGGGCCTCTAGCTCCACATAGTGGCAGAGACGGCCAAGTGACTTTGGATTGATGGACCAACTACCTTTATTTTAAATAATTGTTATTAAAAAATATTGTAAAGGTGATTACAGGGGGGATACAGTTACATGAGTCAAGTAATTAGTACATTTCCTTTTGAACAATGTCACCAATCCTTATTCTCTCCCAGATTTTTCCCTCCTGATGTCATTCCTCCATAAGTTGTATAGTTCATTTCCAACATAGTGTCTAGTGGGTTTCACTGCTAACTTTCTTCACCCTTTGTCCCATCATTTCTGTGCTTCCCCCTCTCCTCCCCAAATTAGATAAGCTTATAAACAAGACAAAGGATACAGAAATTAAAAAAAAAAAACAGCGACACCAAAGCCACCAGCACAACTATGTACATTGCAGCATTGTTGTTTACCATAGTCAAGATATGGAATTGACCCAGACGTCCCTCAGTGGATGAAAGGATCAAGAAAATGTGCTATATATACAATGGAATTTTATACTTCCATCAGAGAGAATGGCATTCCCCCATTTTAAAGAAATGGAAAGACTTGGAAAATTATACTAAGCAAAGTAAGCCAGACCCCAAAAAACATAGGCTGCATGGTTTTCCCCATCTGTGATATCTAGAATGTGCCTATAAATCTATAAGTAAACCCAATGGACAGTAAAAGACAAATAATTACATCTGGACATGATTAATTAAACAGCAATCTAAACATTTACACAGTGAGAACAAAGGAGGATGTTTTTGGGAGAAGATCCCAAGAACTGAATAGTTATGTGCATAAGATCATATAAAATGATGTTCATTGAAATGAACTCCAAGAAAGGGAAGTAAGATGTTTTTTATTATACTGTTTGTGGTTCTTTTTACTCCTTTTCATATTTCCTTTTTTCTTTGGTTTATTCCTAACTATTCTTTTAGGCCTTTGGGAAAAAATTGCTTTAAAGAGACTGAAATGTATTCAAAAGACAGAATAACTTTTAACTTTTAAATTTTCTTGCTATATGTTTTGTAATTACATTTTCTAAACTTTGCATGAATATTTTCTTAGCACTTTAAACATGTCTTATAGATGCCTCTTTAGAAATAAAATTTGAAATGGTTCTCTTTTTTTTTTTTTTGCCCATCATGGGGCCGGAACTCTGGGCCTGGACGCTGTCCCTCAGCTCTTCAGCTCAAGCCTAGAGCCCTACCACTTGAGCCACAGCACCACTTCTGGCTTTTTCTGCTTATGTGGTGCTGAGGAATCGAATCCAGGGCCTCATGCATGCAAGGCAAGCACTTAACCACTGAGCCACCTTCCCAGCCCTGAAATGGTTTTCTTGATATTCTTTAAAAAATGTCTATTTCTATTACAGTGTAACAGATTACATGAACTTAACAGTTTGAAGCAGCACCTATTTATTATTAGTTTTGATTTTTGTGGGTCAAAAGTTCAGATACAACTTGGTTGGGTCCTCAGCCTCTCACAAAACTGCAATCAAGGAATAGGCTGTGGTGTAGTCACATCTTTGGCTCTGGTGTCTAGTCCAAGCTGACTGATGGAAGAAGTCTGTTTCTTGCAGCTGGAAAACTCAGAGTGTCTTGCTTCCTTAAAGGAAATTGTCTCTGATTCAGCAAAATTCTAAGCCCATATGGAAAAGTAATAACTGATTTGAATAGTCTTACCTTGGATAATCTACTTTTTTGTAAGCTAAAAATCGATTTGATTAGGGACTTTATTACATCTGAAAAATTCCTACATATAATTATGAAAATTATATCCATTATATCCACAGATTGCCAACATAATTGGGGCAGGAATCTCTTATGAACCATCTTGGAATTCTATTAATCAGAACATTATGGTTTTTTGACCAGTATATAGTTTTATAGGAGAATACCACATGCCAAAATATTGTGTTATCCATTCCAGTGAATGTACCTGCTATATTATTGACTTCAGGATTTATACAAGATTAAATCATTGTTACTTAGTGATATAAATGAAAATGGTATAATGAATGTACACAGTATAGTAAGTTTTCTGTTAAGCCAAGAAAGAAGACTATACAGACATGAAAAGTTTCTGGGAACAATCTAGAATCTGCACATTCAAACTTCATAAAAATTGGCATGTCTTCCATAAAAATTTAAACTAGCTTTTTTCAAAGATTGTCATTTTAAAAAACCAAATGGTTAAATGTTTTTCTTTCTTAAAGTACTTATAAAATATGAAGCACAGTAAGCATCATAAAATGTGCCAGATTTTAATCATATTTTTTCTCTAGGACTCTTTTATGCTGATCTTATTCCATAGAGACAATTTTAGAACGAAAAAGATTAGAAAAGTCTATTCATTTCATTTTAGGTAAGGATGCTAATTGCAAAATCTAAAACTACTTTTCTTTTTCTTAAGGGGAATCCCAAAATAATCTTCGAGAAGCCAGAGTGAAGATCATAAGCAATGGTGTGTGCAAGCAACCACATGTGTACGGCAATGACATAAAATTTGGAATGTTTTGTGCTGGATTTCTGGAAGGAAATAATGATGCCTGCAGGGTAGGTTGAAGGGAGAAAATAATGTAAATATCTGTAATTCAAAATTTTTATATGTCCTAGGGAATACTTTGTGGTTTTTTTCTGTTAATATAAAATACATATATCATGTCAGCTTGAAAAGATTTTAAATGTAAATTGCACAATGGGTACATATTTTAAGTGTTTTATTAGGCAATATGATATAAGCAAAGAGTTTCTCTGAGGTATCAAGCTAACTAAAAAATTAAAATTTCTTAATAACCATAAACTCTAGGAAAAGCAGAGTCTGTATCCTCAAAGGGCTCCCCGTCCACAGAGGAATCAAGAGGCTATAAGTAACGTAATAGAGAGAATTTTTTTTTTCTTGAAGGGGATATCTTTAGAACATGTTTCAGAAAAAAAGAGTATTTCAATAAAGTCTGAAGCTAAATAGACCCAATTATGGCGTAAGAATATTATATTAGGGGCTGGGGGTTTAGCTCAGCGGAAGAGTGCCCGCCTGGCGCGTGCAAGGCCCTGGGTTCAGTTCTCAGCCCTGGGGGGAAAAAAAAGAATATTATATTAAGAAAGAGGAAGTATGGTCAAAGTGATGAAGCTGTTGAGTCTCAGCATGAGGAACAGGGTAGGTGAGATTAAGCTATTTGTCAGTATCCTAAAGTTCTTTCCAGTGCTTTCCCCAACCTCCAAAATCCACCTGCAGGTCTATTTTTTTTTAACAAGGGTATGAGTGTTCAACTTCTCAGAAGCACTCATGCTTTATTTTGTACGTTTTTTAATTGTAAAAATACTGTACAGAGGGGTTACAGTTACATGAGCAATGTCATTAGTACATATCCTATTGAGCAGTTTCCTCCTCCTTTGTTTTCCCCCTACCATCCCTTCCCTCTCACCTCCACAACTACCCCTGCCTCCCTGTTGAAGTTGTAACCTTTGCTTTCCACATAGTCTTTTGTACATCTCATTGTTACAATGGGTCAACCTGTATCCCTATTTAAGCATTTTGTTTTTTCCCTTCCCCTCCCCAAATTAGAGAAGTGTATATAGAATATGCAGGGCACCGACATCAAATACAGTGAAAACAGGGCTTATACCATAGGGGAGGAACATACAAAGAAACAAAAATGTCACAAGGTACCTTATAAATACATTAGAAACAATAGCAAGAAAGAAAAAATATGTTTCCCTATCTTGGGGTTCATTTCACTTAACATCATCTTATATACTCATATGTACATAATTTTTTCCAAGTCTTTCCATTTCCTAACATATGGGCAATGTCATTCTTTCGATGGAGGCATAGAATTCCATTGTGTATATATACCATATTTTCTTGATCCATTCATCTACTGAGGGGCATCTGGGTTGGTTCCTTATCTTAGCTATGATAAATAATGCTGCGATAAACATAGTTGTGCTGGTAGCTTTAGTATGGTCTTGTCTGTGATCATTTGGGTAAATGCCCAAGAGGGAGCTCTATGTGGAGTCTTTTTTTTTTTTTTTTTTGGTCAGAGTTGGGGCTTGAACTATTGGCCTGAGCACTGTCCCTGAGCTCCTCAGCTCAAGGCAAGTGAGCCACAGCACCACTTCCAATGTGGAGTCTTTTGAGGAACCTCCATACTGCTTTCCAAAGTGGTTGAACAAGTTTACACTCCCACCATCAATGCTGTAGGATTCCCTTCTGTCCACATCCCCTCCAGCATCTGTTGTTATTAGAGTTCTTGATTATAGCCATTCTAACTGGGGTGAGGTGGTATCTCAATGTTGTTTTGATTAGCATTTCTTTTATGGCTAGAAAGTTCAACATTTCTTCCTGTGTCTATTGGCCATCTTTCTTTCCTCTTCATAGAAGTTTCTTTTTAAGTCTTTAACTCATTTATTTATTGGGCTGTTGCTTCTTTGAGGATTAGTTGTTGAGGGATTTAATTTTTTGAGTTCCAAGTATATTTTTTATATGAGACCCTTGTCTGTTGTATGGGAGCCTCTTCAATAAATGTTGCTGGCAAAATTGGTTAATCACCTGTAGAAAACTAAAGCTAGATCCTTATATATCACCCTGCATCAGAATCAACTCTAAATGGATCAAAGACCTTGGAGTCAAAGCAGACACCCTGAAAACATTACAGGAAGGAATAGGAGAAACTCTAGGTCTCCTTGGCACAGACCAAAATGTTCTTAATAGAGACCCAGAAACATAACAAATCAAAGAAAGGTTGGACAAATGGGATTGCATGAAATTGCAGAGCTTCTGCATGGCAAAGGACATAGCTAGCAAGATCAATAGACAGCCCACAGATTGGGAGAAGATCTTCATTAGGCATTCACTTTTTAACAGGAAATTCTTGAAAACCCCAAAAAGTGTTGAAAGGAAGAGAATGATATGAATATGAGGTGACAGAAAGCTCTACCCAGAGTTCTATATATATGGGCAACATTTGTTAGGAAATCAGTGAATTTTGTACCTCTTGCATTGAGCAAGAGAAAGATCTAATTTCAATGGATGAAAAAGGGTAAGGAGGCAACCAGAATTGAAGTAATGCTGAAAGATATCTGTGCCACAGGAAGCAAGCAAAGGCAGGGTCTGGAGGCTTGGAGCAGACAAGGTATTATAATTCAATGAAATTAATGATAAGCTTCATAAAGAATCTTCATTGAATTGGAGCACAGAGGTAAGATTCCTGCTTACTTGGGCAAATATGTACTTATGGAAAAATGGGGAAAGTTATCAAGAAAGGGGGTCAGGTACAAGAACTCAATATAGAAATACAATAGTTGTAGCTGATGCACATGATGGCCTTAATCTATCTGATAAGATGGAAATCCAGCCACTAACATTAAATGATCAGCTTAGGACGCATAACAACAAATGGTACCAGATCTGGAATAGAAATCATGGGAGTCCATTATCAAAGAAACTATCGATGCTTTTTAATTGTGAAGCTTTCTCTGTCTCCTATTGAAACAAAGACCCAAGTATTCATAGCCTCATCATGACAAAATGTTAGGGCCCTAGAGATGAAGGAGGAAAATTTCAGAATTGAAGGAATGGGTATCACACTTGCACAGAAAGTCTCAATAAACTTGGAAGGTTGAGGACAGGGAAAAACATTCAAATTTCAGAAAGAAAGTTATTTAATTCAAGATTCTTGCCCATGAAATCTGAAACTAATATTAACTATGAGAGTAGAATAACGAATTTGAGACAGGCAATGTCTCAAAAAAATGCATTTCTCATCGTGTCTTTCTTAGGAGAGAATCAGGATACTCAGCAAAATGGAGTTGAGTATTAAGAAAACAGAAAGAGCCTAAACCATTGTGAATCTGACACAAGAGAATGATGTGTGCATGTGGGTCTGAGAGGGACAGAAACACAGACAGGTCATAGGGAGTAAAAAGCTGACATGTCATCTGATGTCCTTGAGTATTAGGAACAATTATTATTAGATCATGTCAGATTTTTTGGAATATTCAACATTTGCCACAGGTACATGGAAAACTAGCCCAATGAAAGAGTATTGATAAGAAATTATTATTGGTTTGTTATCATTGATAAGAAATTATTGATAAGAAACCCAGGTCTGCCAAATAAAAGTACAAAGAAATCAAGATTTTGCTTGAATTCATAACATTTACAAAACAATAGCTGTTAGTATAACCAAAAGTAGAGACTAAATCATAATGATGTAGTGAAGGAAAGTGGGGAAATGTTGTAAAATAGATAGATCCCAAACTACATGACAGGAAATTCATATAAATCATCTAAATAGAGAAATAGAAATTTGATCATCTCATTTAATGGCAAGAAATTAGATGATATAAGAAATCATAAAACTAGTGTGAGTTAGCAAAATGAATCAAGAAATGTAGGATGTACAAGATGCCAATAGACCATAGCTGTGATCCTAGTTTTTTTGGGTAGCTGAAGATGGATGAATTCTGGTTTGAGGCCAGCTGAGTAGAAGCTGAATGTGGTGGTGTACACCTGTGATTTCAGGAATATTGGGAAGCTTAAATGTAGGTGTAACAAAGCTTAGGCACAAACCAATACCACATACCAACAAGACCCTCTTCTAAGAATGATGAGTAAAAGCAAAAGCTAAAGCTAGAGGTATGGCTGAGCAGTCCTCTGTCAGTTTTGTAAGTGCTAGACCCTGAGTTCAAATTCCAGTTCTGCCTACCCCCAAATGTAGTGTGAAAATGTATTACTATTTTATTCTATTGTTTTCTCCTTTTAACTATGTATTTATTTACTTTAACAACAATAAAAATGATGTGAAATGTGTACATTTAACCTTCCTGATAATTTTGAAGTCCATTTTTATTTAATTATTCTATATTGATATATAGAGTCTGGTATGTAGAATCTATATACTGTCTATTAATACAAACAAGTATATCCTCTAAGCATCTTAAATCATAAGGTTTATGTTTACTCATTTGCTTTTGTTTTTCCTTTATCTTTTTACTTCCAGGGTGATTCTGGAGGACCATTAGTGGTAAGAGATCCTAACGGTACCTGGTATCTCATGGGAATTGTGAGCTGGGGTGATAACTGTGGCCAAAAGAACAAGCCTGGAGTCTACACACAAGTGACCTATTACCGACGCTGGATTGCTTCAAGAACAGGCCTCTAACTCGCTGTGAAATCTAAACAAAGAGAGCTGCGTGCAGGACGCACATATGTGAAGACTCAGACATCCAACAGGCATTCAGTACAATAATGTGAGCTTGAATGACTAGCAGCATGAAACCATGACATGATTTGTTTTACAATTGTTTAGTCAGTCGGTGATCCACGGCCAAGATAAAAGGGCTTTTTATCTGTAAATTAATGTCAGTTTATCCTAATGTGAAAAATATAGCAACGATATTCAGCTCTTTAAGTCAAATAAATTGGAGGATAAAGAAGACGCAATGCAAATTCTCTGTTAGCCTTGAGATTTTAAAGCAAAGTGTCAAGGGTGTCTCCTTAAGTGAGAAACTTCTTGAACTCTCAGAGTTCAGAAGAATCATATAATCGCATATGATTTTTCCAGACTTCAGGAATAATACTATTCATTTCCTTTTCTTCCTGGTTTTCTAGAACTTTTCTACCACAGGAAATAGCTTGCTACTTCTAAAAGCATGTGAAGAATTTTTATAATATATATATAATATATATAGGAAACAAAGTCGAGTGGTAAATTAATGACTTTTTAATCTATAGCTGTGAAACCTCTCTAATGTCTTCATGGATTTTTTAACACATACAGAGATCTCTAGTGTGCATAGACATCCTGACTAATGAATAATAGATATAATAATTATTTAATCAAAACATATTTTTGTTGTAAAAATTTTTGAGAAGTTAACAATAAGATCATGAGCAGTCCCCAGACAAGGTTTCAATAATTTGACATTTTAAAAATGCAGTTACACATTTTCATCGCCAGGGGGAGATTTTTAGCTATAATTATTTTTAAAAGTTGCATGCTCAAAAACAATTCAGAATGTACAGTCATGCTTAAAATCTGCCACCACCCTGGAGCCCTAACATCTATAGAAGAAGAGGAGAAGGAGGAGGAGCTTTTCTTGTCTTACTAATTATAAAAATATTTACCACATAAAATGCATGGGCAAAATAGTCTAAATTAACATGCTCAGTTAAGTGTTTCACAAAGACATTAGGAGAGTTAGGCTACTACATCCTAGAACAAAACTAGATGAGGGTCTTGTAGAAATGGTACTCTGCTTGGCAGAGCCTGTGAAACTTCAATGTTTGTGTGCTGGGGAATCTCAAGTAGTCCAAATTAGCCAAAAATCATTGGAACAGTGAAATTATTTTAGAATGATTTCCCCATTTGTTCTGCAGAAGACATAAATAATCCTAATGCAATCTATTCTTACCTAATGTAGTCTGAATGGGATTTATAATTTGTCTACCAACAATTAATTCATAATTTAGACTAATAGAACTTTGAAGTTTAAGAAAGATCCCATAGGTCATACAAACAAACACAGTTATAGTGAAGAAAACTGAAGCTGTTGGTAGCTGGCATTCCTATGTAACATTTTTCACATGACCTTTTCCTAACTATCTTTATGATGGTCTATATTTATTGAATCAGTAGGTCTATGAATATCGGTAAGTGGTATTAAATCAGTTTTTAATTAGGAAATTCTTAAGGCAATTAATGATTTTGAGTGATTCACTTAGGCAGCTGGCTGCCAATTCTCTGAACAGTAGCCACATATTATTATGTATTATGGTGGTAAGGTGAAATTTTCTCTTTGAATGCTAAGAATTAGGAAATGATTTTAGAGTTGCAAATTATGAACTTGTAAACTTGTGTAGCATTTCATTTTGGGTCATATGTAAGCAAATGTTGATATATCATTTCAAATCTAATAAACTTGGTGGTAAGAGCAATATTACTGAGTCTGTGTTAGCCTAGTAGTGCAAGCCTATTAACTGTGGAAACGAATGACATGCCTCTTAGTTTGAATCATTTTGAAGCCAGGCTTTTTAACATTGATGCTATTGTCAGAAAACCTCATTGTTTTAAGGGGCTGCCCTGTTCACTGTCAAGTGGTTAGTAATATTCACTAAATGCTACAACATCCTTCTTCCCCCAAATTATGATAACTAAAAATAACACAAGATATTGGTAAATGTTTCCTAGGGAACTGAAGTACGCCCTATTGACAACAACTATTTTGAAGGAAGTTGATCACTTTTAGAAATGTGAAACTCAAAAATACGACATTAAGCAACAACAACAAAAAAAACTGTACTGATCAATCTCAACCTTCCCTATTCAGTCCCTATAAGAACAGTAGCATAACTAGCTGGTCCTGCAGTCAATAGTTACTTCAAACACAGACTGATCTCTCCATACAATTTGTTTCTAGCATTTCTATCTGCCCAACATGCACAAGAACTTGGGCTTCAATCCTTAACACTGCAATCAATCAAACAATTTCTAAACCAGAGTACTGCCATACAACCCCTAAAACTTTACTTTGAAAGGCAGAGTTTTACAAAATCATTCTCTCATGAAGTTTCACTTCTTTGACCACAATACACAGTATATTCTACTTCATAGATCCATTATATATGACAAAACATGGACATAATAAAATCTGAAATAGAAGCTTTATGAAAACAATACCCTTCCTAATGCATTTAAATCTCACATCATGATTCCATTCTATTCTTCTTTGTAAAAAAGAATACCATCAACGAAATTAATTTTGTAATTAGCACTTCAGAACTAAAGACTAGACCAATCATGCACTATTATTAACATTGAATTATTATGCCATTATCATCTTCTTTACCTTCAATTTCACTGTACTGTATTCACTTAGCAAATCGCTGCCAAGTTATAATATTGTTTGATATTTTCATTCCCATATTCTCAGACCTCCACTCATTTTCCCTCTGCCTGAAAAAGAGTCTAAATCCATGTGCCTATTGCATTTAATATTCTTTTTTTAAGATCTACACAAACTAGTAAAATCTTTATTTTGCTGTACCCTGTGATCTGTAACACAATTTCTGTATTGCAATTTTTATACGTGTGTGTATTAGCTCTTAAAATATTTTCAATCCTACAAGGTTAAAGGCCACTTTATTAGGCTTAGGCATGGTGGTACATGTCTGTACTAGCAGGAAGATATAGGTAAGAGGAATGCAGTTCAAAACCAGCCCGGAGCAAACACACCGAGCTCTATCTGAAAAAAAAAAAATGTCTAAAGCAAAAGACCTACAGTTATGGCTTACGGGATTGAGGACCCAACTAACATCTAACTTCAGTTCAGCTGTCAGTTCACCAACACACAAAAGGAAGACACACTGCAGCCAGAAATCTTCGCAATAAGAATTCTCACCTTGCACTGTGGAATGGAACCTTCCCTCCGCCATTACCCATGAATGGAGCTCTGAGCTGGAGCCCAATGTCACACGACCAGCCCACGGTAGTGGGCTCAGCTCTCCCAGGATCGAGGCTGCGATTCACAGGGGAGAGAGACAGCAAAGGCTTCCTCAGCCTTGTAAGGTCCTTGTCAGCGCATCCACCCCCTCACACACATCCCCCCAAAAAAAGAAAAGGAAAAAAATCTGCCTTATTATTTCCTACAGTATTTAGAATATTATTCAACACGTTTTAGGTAAATTTAAAGGAAAGACTAAATTACCCAGTGCTGATGGTTTATGCCCATAATCCTAACTACTGGGAGGGTAGAAATCCAAGGACTCTCAACTCAAGGCTAGCCTGCGATCTCAGCCCACCCCATACTGGGGTGCCTTGGGTCACACTTGTCATTTCAGCTGTGTGTTAGGTGGACAAGGAGGAGCACAATTTCGGTTGGTCTTGGCAATAACGTATTTTTTTTAAGTATGATAGCCCCCTACCTCATTAGAAAAGGCTTGGCATGCTGCTACAAGCCTGTTATCCCAACTACAGTGGGAAGCATAAATAGGAAGCTTTCGCATTCGCATAAAAGCAAGACGCTATGACAAATACAACTAGTGCAAAAAAATGGTAGGAAGTGTGACTCAAGTTTCAGAGTTCCTGCCTAACAAGAGCAAAAGCCTGGGTTTAATCCCCAAGATGGCAAATATTAAAATTAACAAACTATGCCTATGAAGTAACTCATTCCCAACTGTAACGACCCTTCCTCCGGCACCTTTTCCCTTACTGAACTGTTTGACCTATGCAGTCTGATTCTGCACTTTTGAATGTTCCTAAACTGCCTGCTCTTTGCCTACATCAAAAGAAACCAAACAGGAGCAGACAGGCCCTCCAACTCAAAAACACTTCCCCTATGTTCTTCAGCAGCTACATCTGAGGATCCAGGTATATCTGGAAGCAAACCTTTGCTGTACAACATTTCTTGCTTCTTTTTCTGCTTCTGTTTAATCTGTCAGTATTTGACCTTTCTTCCTCATTCTTCATAACTACAGACTGTTCCTTAATCCCCAACAGCTATCACAGTTATGTGCTTAAAAACTGCAAAAATCAAGATGAATCAGAACTATATCAATAGTACTAAAGACCAACTCAAGTCTATTTACTCCTTCAACAGTGAATGGATGCTGTTATATTCATGTGGGTAGGATGTTATGACACAATTTCATGGCTCCAAAGGACTTCAAGCCCTGTTTAACTTCCTCTGCACCATCATATATTTTATAGTTTAGAGTGAAACAATAAGTGAAATACTAGAATAAAACCTGATTAAATAATTATTGGCTTCAGATCAAATAATCTTTAAAAATATTTGTAAGAGATTATATAACCATTTGCCAAATGATGGGTAATATAACATAGAAATAATATGAAGTCAGGCAGAACTGATTTAAACTCCAGCTCCATCATGATAGGTGAGTGATATGGGTCTGTTATTTGAACTATGTGATAGTTCTTGTGTTGTTGTTTTGCAGACAAAATTTCATCATGTAGCTCAGGTTAGACTTGAACTTGCTATGTGGCCTAGGCTGGGCTCAAATTCACAATTCATATATATATATATATACATATATACATATATATATATTTCAGACACAATTTTTATGTTTTCATGAGGGTGTTCTTGACTAATATTAACATTTATCCTCATCTGTTTTGGAGTTGCTGAAGTAAAATGAATT